TCCGGTCCAGCAGCAGGATTCCATGTCAGAGCTTGGGGCCCCACATCTGGGTTTGGTGCCCGCCTGCCCCACCTCCAGGCTGTGACCCACAGGGCCAGCATCCAACTTCTCTTCCTCTCTCTCCAGCTGCGCCAGGAGGCCAGAGCTGCCTTTAGCCGGGCTTCCTCATCTGTCCAGGCTGCCACAGTTACTGTCAAGGGAGCCAGGACCCTGCTGGCTGACCTGGAAGGTATGCATGTCTTGCCGAGCCCAAGGCCCTGCAGTGCACAAAAGCTCACCCAATTCTTGCCTCGGCCTGGCCAGGTGCACTGCTCACATTGTCCAAGGGGCGGGGCTGGTTAGGCATCTGCTACTGACTGCCTGGTGGGCGCTCAAAGCATGAGCCCACTTGACATCCTGGCTGGGTTTGCAGGAATGAAGGCGCAGTTCCCTCGACCCAAGGACCAGGCCGCGCTGCAGAAGAAGGCGAGCGCCATCAGGGACAGACTCCTCACAGACGTGAGAAAGAAGACCAAGCAGGCAGGGAGGATGCTGGGAAATGCAGCACCTCTGTCCTCCAGTGCCAAGAAGAAGAGCAGAGAAGCAGAGCTGTTGGCCAAGGACAGTGTCAAGGTCAGGGCTGTGGCCATGGCAACTGATGCTGGGCCTGTGGAAGGAGCTGCCCTCTTGTAGGTTAAACATGGCCCCTGCAGGTCCACCTGCTTCTCGTGTCCACTGCTGAGTACCCCACTCTTCCTAAATGCTCAGTGAGTCCCAGGCTGTGAGCTAGGCCTCGTGTGTGACTTTGGTGACACCTGTGAAAGAGGTGTCATTGCTGTCCCTCGGTACAGAGAAGACACTGAGACCTATCCAGGTTCACATCTGGGTGTTTGCTTCTCTGCCTACACCTCTAGGCTTCTCACTGATTCTAATCGATGGGAGTCTGTGCTCCATTGCTAGTTTCGTCACTCCTACCCCGAGTAAACTATCTTTCCAGTTACCTAGAGAAGGTGCTGATTTAAAGTAGGAGTTCTCAGGCTTAAATTCTTGTCCTGCCACTTGGGCTTTGGCCAGCTCCTCCTGCTGGTGCCTCTGTTTCCCCATCCGTAAAATAGTTGGAATGTCTCCCCAGGGAGAAATGAGTAGGATTCAGCACTCTGCGTCATCCCAACACGCAGTCTGCACTCAGGACTTGCTTGTTGGATGGATGGATGGATGGATGGATGGATGGATGGATGGATGGATGGATGTGTGTGTGGGTGGGTGGATGGATGGGTGCATGTGTGGGTGGATGGATAAATGGATGGGTGGATGGGTAGGTGGGTGGGTGGATGGATGGATGGATGGATGGGTAGGTGGGTGGATGGGTGCATGTGTGGGTGGATGGATGGATGGATGGATGAATGGATGGGTAGGTGGGTGGATAGATGGGTGGGTGGGTATGTGGATAGATGGATGGGTGGGTGGGTATGTGGATGGGTGATCTGGTGCATGAGGCAGATGGCTGCTTGCTTTATTGCCATAGAGCTCTTCACTCGCAGAAGGACTCATTGCACTCTCCCCCCACTTGCTGCTGCCGCCCACCCCATAGCTTGCCAAGGCCCTGCTGAGGGAGGGCAAACAGGGGCACCGCCGTGCCAGCCGGCTCACCAGCCAGACGCAAGCCACTCTCCGACAGGCCACCCGGCAGGCGCTGACTTCCAAGGCACGCAGACAGGAGCTGGAAGAAGCCGAGCAGGTGCGTGTGCCAAGGCCCCTGCCCATTTGTTGTGCTCCTGGCAGCACGAGGGAGCTGCTCAAGCTGTATCTCCCTCCCCACAGGTGGGTGCCGGGCTGAGCGAGATGGAGCGGCAGATCCGGGAGTCGCGCATCTCTCTAGAGGAAGACATCAGGGCCTTGTCAGAGCTACTTTCTGGGCTGGGTGAGGAGTCCTCGTGGTTGGGCCCTGAGCTCCCGGGTCCCTAGAACACCTTGATCTTCCTGTCCTGTCCTGGACAGCCAGTCCTGGGGGATTTCCCCCGTCATCGCCAACAGCTGTCCCCACCTCCGTCCTCGTGGTCAGTCACAAGTATCTGTAACCACCCCAGGCTCCCATTGAGGCAGGGTTGGTACCCAGAAGCAAGTTCACGTTGAATAGCTCTTTGTGCCTCCTGGGGCCTCTGGTGGGAGAGAGAGACAGAAAACTCAGCACACGTGACCCTCAGTGGGTTCCGAGTGAGCAGTCAGTGCCCAGCAGGTGAGGGATAGGCGAGAACGGCACAGAGCAAGCGTGGCATTGGTTCTGGCTTGAGTTCAAACAACCCAGGATTCAGCCCTGCCTCTGTCCCTTTTTTGGCCATAAGACCTTGGAAAAGTCATTACCCTGGAATCAACAACATGCATGCTTTAAAATTCTGGCAAAAGACACTCCTTCCTTGCCCAGGAAATTCAGGGCCTTGGGACACCTGAGGGCCCGGGAATTAGAAGCCACTTGAAACTTCCTTTCCCATCCCCACCACTCTCCCACCTGGCCAAGCTGTCTGCTGACTGCCACACT